TCCCCCGGAGGAGCTGGAGGAAGTGTCTGGAGAGAGGGAAGTCTGGGCATCTTTGCTTAGACTGCTGCCCCCGCGACCCGGTCCCGGATAAGCGGAGGAAAATGGATGGATGGATGGAACAGTTTGAAATAACACATTGCAAATGAATATTCATACAGTGATAATAGCATATTCACTCCCTCCCTCCCAACTTGAATGAACTGAAATCCCTTTAATACTAATCTCTTACATTTTCTCTCTCACCCGCCCCACACTTCTTCTTCCAATATACAGTACCTTCACAAACTTCTCTCACCCTACATCTCCCTCCCTTTATCCCTGAGCCCCAGTGTCCGCTCAGCAGGCAGAATGGGAAACACAGCCAAATGAGCCAGAGAATGATGGATGAAGCTGGTGAGACGAAGGATAGGAGGGAGGGGAACGGGAGAGAAGGAGAGTGTGCAGGTGTAGGGACAGAGCTAGAGAGGACAATGTGAAATGGGAAGAAACAGAAACATGCTAAAACAGACAACTAGGTTGCCATGAGTAGGATGTAGAGGAGAGAAAAAAGATCCCAGATGTTCACCACAGAGCTAATCTCAGGATTTTGTTAACTTCTTATCAGGCACTATCACCATACAGGGTGTGTGTCTGTCTTCCTGTCAGCGTGTGTTTTATTTTCTGAGGACTTTTGTGTATATGTGTTCAGCACCCAGGCCAGAGTTACGCTGGGGTGATTACATGCAAAAAGGCAGTGCAGATTCCTTGCTAATCCCAATTATCATATCTTACAAAATGATATCTATTTCAGTTTTCTGCTGAGCTGCTTCGATGTCAATCAGCTTGGGTCTATCGCACCAACGGCACTATGTCAGACATATGGCCTGCCAGCTGTGTAATGCCACTGGTCTGTGCTCATCTCATGCTGATGGGGCAAGTGCTCTTCTGTTACACCATCATTGTTGTTATGATTATAGAGCTGCTTATCTCAACCCACATATGATTCATAAAGCTCTAAAAAATAAAACAATATAAATGATAAAAAGGGCATCAGGACAGATCATCCTGCCAGTCATTATAGGCTACTGGATTTTCATCCAAAAAATGACAAAATGGCTTATTCTCGAGAATTCTACCAAAACAAATAATACAGGCAGTCTTACTTTCACACCGAAATCCCACAGGCAAAAGAGCCTCACATTCACACACATGGACACACTGCCAGTCTTGGAGACGCTGGCAAAGCATGGCCAACATAGCATCAATGAGTCTGAGAGTGTGCACAGATGTGTACGTGTTTGACCAAATGCGTAGAAGAGAGCGATCAACTGAACTGACGACAACCACGATGAAAGGTATGAACCAGGAGGCTGACAAGTGACACACGGCACTAACACAAAATCAAAATGCCATGAGTACATATGGTAATTAGTTCAGCCAGATTATGCTTCAACACGTAGAGACTGGAGATCAAAATGCACATGCACATGAACATACACCAGGCCTCAACATAGCAAAATACAGTGATGACCTCAAACCAGTATTTTTACCTTCTGCGCTTGTGGGAGCTAAAAATAACCGATTAAGGAGAGAAGGAGGAAGAAGAGGACAAGAGAAGGGGTCAATATGTTTGTGGGTAAGTATCAGAAAGCCTTGTAATGTAGTTTCCACTGAATTGAGCTCCAGCACCAGCGGGTGCATTAAATCCACTGACACTGATCTTGACTGCACCGTTTTATAAGTAAGAACAGCGAGTGTGTCAAGGAGAGAGCTTTTTGGCTAGGAGGTTCACAGCAGAGGAAACAACGCTTAAGCTGTTACTGTTGAGTCAGTGTTGAGTGTGCTTACTTTGGCTGTGATAAATGAATGGGGATGAGGACAAAAGGAGCAGAGGAAGACAGAAAAAAGTAAAACACAAGGACTATGAAGAGCATTGCAGAGGATTTCATGTAGTGTCTGTAGCCTGTGCGCATTTCTAATAGAGAGCACTTGCCAGTAACACCTGAGGACAAATGGCTGTTGGTCACTCTTTAAAGCAAAACACAAACACCTGAATGAAAGAGGTCCACCATGCCAGCATAAATACTCCAGTACACCGTGTATAGTGTGTATACTACGTACTGCAGAGAATTCTACAGGTCAGTAATTTTCCTTTAGGGTGTTTTACCAACAATGTCTGTTTCAGTCAGGGTTTTCCAGGGAAATCATGTACTGTAGATATGGCTGAGGATATTACCCATAAAGATATTATTATAGAAGTAAATAAGTGTATGTGCCATTGCATTCAGTTGGTAGTTTTAGATACACCTAGTTACATACAAATTTCTTTTAATAAAAACTAACTTTATGAAAAGGTTACAATGCTCATTTTTGCTGAAGCAGTTTTAGTTTTGACTATTATTATATTTATATATGTATTATATTCGATATTTTGCTCTTGTATTATGTGGTTGTGAATTCTAATACTGTTTCAGGCCTAAGACTTTTTGATTCTGACTAAACATATTTTGTAATTATATGAATGTTATCTTGTGTATGAATTTGTTGAATTCATCAGATTTTGTGTTTTAATATTTTTTCTCAGTATTGTGCAAATAAACTACACTAAAATGAGGGTAACAGAAAAACCTCTCTGTATGATGCGAACAGTTCAATCGCACCACAAACCTCATCTCCTCTCCTCCTCCATAATTAGAAATGAAATCTTCTCTACAAAAATTTCAACAAGTAGTTGCCTCTGTTTTAGTGCATCTAAAGACTGAGTGTATATGATGTGTGTATGTGTGTGTGTCTGTGTGTTGGGGTAGGTACAAGGTTGAGAGATCAGGGACTTAACTCACTAATGTTCTGCTCATGCTACACAACTCCAAAATACACACAGGAGGCTCATTGACTTAATAGTTCCATCTGCTGCACTTTCACAGGCAGAGACACAAATTGGCAAAACACATTGTCAACCCTCTGCTTGCAATTTATCGCTACATCCTCCTTTGGATTATATAAGAATCTATCCCAAAAATGTAAATGTACTTTTTAAAAACACATGCTGAAACAAAGTACAATGCAAGTTTTCTTGTTTCACTCTCCAAAACCATCACAGAGACTTCTGGACCAGTGATCTACACTACCCAGTGGGGGTGTGTGGTTGGCACAGACTGTGGCAGTCAAGTGCCATGTGAGAGATGGTGTTAACTCACAGTGCTGTCAACATAGGCCTCGGTCCACACCGTGTCATGCTCCCGGTCGATGACCTTGGGACGACTCAGCACGTGGAGGTACTCCATCACATTCTCTTGCACATCTGCCAGTGTGGAAATCTGAGTGAAATAGCCTGTTGGGCAGGAAACAGAGAAAAGATGATGAATTGTTTAACTTAGATGCTTGTGAACAATGGAGTATGAACAGGTTCCGTCTCCATCTCAGTCTCAGATCAGAAGTAGTCTCTCTGTCTCCAAAACTATTTCACATTGTAGCAAAATTCACATCCAGTAACAACTTGGCGATATAATCTTCATCAATCAAACAATCCCCCCCGTTTTTCTTACCCTGGTACAAAAACAGAGGAATTACATCTGGAAACTAGCACAGTCTGAAGCAGATATTTGCATGACAAAGCAGACACAAGGCTGGATACATGATTAAGTAATAGCTGAAGTGTTCCCTGCAGTGATGCACAAGTGAGAGCAAAACATCATGGGTGTGTGAATGGATAAGCGGTATGTAAATGTAATGGAAAACCTATCTCAGTTAAACCAAGTGTGATGCCATTTCCCACAATGGTAATACTGCCATTATGTTGCTAATATGCATGTGCAAGTGGGAATATACTGTTATCACAGCAAGGGGGGCAGAAAGAGAGAGATGAAGAGAGGAAATCAGGAGAACAGTAAGATAGAGAGAAAGAGAGTGAGAAGTAACACAAAGAATAAGAGCAAAGAGGGACACCACCACATTACCACTCATCCATAAAAACAGCAAACTACCGTCATCACCGTGAGGCAGTCAAAAAAGAAAATCATAGCTGGAGGTAATAGGTTTTGGGGTCACCATCCTCAGCAATGACCTTTATTTCACAGCAAGAAAAAGCCAAAGTCTAGACACAAAACACAGCTCTATGATGGATGCTATACCCAAAATATCTAAGAAGAGGTTCTACCATTGATAACCTACAGTAAATCTGAAACTACAACTAAAAACATTATTAATTAATGAGATCTAACTAACACTGGAAACATCAAAATTGCATAATAACTGCAACTGATATGGCAACAAGAATGCATAAGACTGAACTTGACCTGGAATTGAACCTTGACAGATTCCTCCTTTTCATCTTTAGACACTCTTGGGTCCAGCTATTATTACACCAGACAGTACAATAACAACACACATCACACAAAAAGCAAGCCGCCATGGCCTAACAGCATCATTCATCACAGTGGTGAGTGAAGAATGGCTACTTTCTGTTGAAGCCTGAGGGCGTCCTTCGGGCTGAGCCACCGGGGGCAGTTAGATGAACTGGGGAGGGAAAAAAACGCTCCCAGCTTTTAGTGACATGGTACACCTGTCGTACACACAGGGCAGGATAGCCGCAACATGGTCTGGTCAGGATAAGGTCATTAATATATGTTTAAAGGACACCAGTTTGGGTGATTTCAACAAAATATACAACAGGGTGTCCTACACTGTAAAAAATGTATTTTAATTTAATTTTATTCCATATGGAAAATAACCATCTTCAAAAATACAGTAACTTCCCATAATTTTACATATAGGTATGTTGTTGAGACAGTGATGGACTGTGAATGACCTGAACCCAGCCAAGCTCAGTGAATGCTTGTTAAAATGAGAGGAGGACTGTGGCGTCTGACCGGGAAACAAGTAGAGTGTTAGTGAAAAGTCAGCTGAGCTCATTAGGCCTGTATACTGTATACCTGTATGAGTTACGGCCTGTATACTTTCTCTTATTAGCAACTAAAGGTATTTTTCATATGACTTGTCCAGGGTGTACCGTGGCTCTCGCCCAGTGTCAGCTGGGTTTGGCTCGAGCCCTGCCACCCCCACCCCCCATATCCCTGTTTAGGATGGGCGGTATAGCTAATGGATATATGGATGGTATTTTGCATACTGTACAGTATGTATGGATTGGCAGCTGGTACAGTATAGCCATAATGCTTGTTTTACTAGTATTAGTACTTACTAATACTACCTGCACTGTGACATTTCCAGAATCTTAAAAATATTGCTTGCTCCAATCAAATGCCACAGGGAGAGAGTTTGACCTCACAGCCTTCAGTAGCAGAGCGGACAACTTAACACTTTTTCAATGCTGAAACATTACTTACAGTAAAACAGTGAAGAAATGAAACTGAATTTTCTGCTGTAGTTTGGAATAGTGATACTGTGCCTAGGGATTAGAGAGAAGAAACTCAGCACAGCTCCTGCGGGCTGCAGAGGATGTTACCCTCACAAGTCTGAATCATCATCTTGCATACGAACACACACAGGTCTCATGATCACCACTAACACCTTCAAACTGACTGGATGGGTTCTCTGATATCACTTCCAAGCAAAACTGTGGATGCCCTTGTCCTCTTATCTACACACATTGTGTAACCTATGACTTGTCTGTTTTATCTGTGGCAGCCTGAGGAAATAGAGCCAGACTATCTCTGTCACCCACCCCCCAGCTAAGTATAGCACCTGAAACAAAGTGCTCTACACTTTGAGACAACCATGACCACACATAAAGCCTCTGGAAAGTGGTGTATTGCCAGGATTTGGACTTCAGGCTTAGAGAAAGAGGTAATGTGACATATCTGGTCGGTGCAACTGGAACCAGCTGCCTGCTGTCACGCTCACGCTAATACTGATGAGCACTGACAAACATGTGCATGCAACTATATACACACACACAGACACGTACGTACTATGCCAAAAACCCCAAACAAATCCTGAGCTCCGTATTGTATTTAATTTTCCTGGCTGATAGCAACATGCAGCAATTTTCCTCTGCAAAAACAGATTAGAAGGAGAAAAAAGTACAGCGGTCATATGCATGTGTTATGAGAGCCCACCTTTGTTAGCACATGCCATCCATTTCAGATTATCCGCGAAGGCTGACTCGCGACCAATCAGGTAGGGGAATATGCGGACCTGCAGAGGGAAAGCAGATAGCTTCTGTCAGTCATCTTAATCGCATTTTGATAAGGACCCCCACACCAACCATATACAAGATAATACTATCAAAAGCAGGCAGAAGGCTCTTGCTTTATCCGCCAGTGATTTGCAGGGCCTTTCTCCCTGTTTAATCGAGTCAGTTATGGACTCATAAAATATAATATACTGTAATTCCAATTTTTTATCAACTAAAAAAAACTAAACAAGAATTAACATATTAACAAATTTTCAAAAAGATAAGCATGTCATACGTTTGCAATTAGATTGAATACAGAAGATACTATTTTGAGTTGAAAAAGCCAAATGCAAGCTTTATGTGCTCAGTCCAGAGAATCTTGTAAACTCTCTGCTGTCAAACTCATTTTTGCCCAGCAGTGCTCAGTTGGCTCCAGCAGCAGGTCTAGTTGGCAGGTGTGTATATATACATATGTGTGTACGTCTGCCTGTGTGGGAGTGTGTGAAAAACAAGTTGCCAGATTGGACCAAATGCAACCCTCTGGGGGCACAGCTGCCACAGATCCCATGCCTGCATTTTTTCGTCTCCCTTCACTCTGACATCATATGTGTTTGTACGGTATGTGTGTGCACGCACAGACATATCTAGATGTGGGTAATGTCTTAATCTGATTTCAGATGACTGCACTCAAAAGAAGAGTCTGAAAGTTGGGGAAATATAATTTATGCATAAATGACATTTTGCTTTTTGAGGAATGCTTCCATTCAAATTATGTTTATTTCACTGTGTCATAGATGAACTCCTTATAAATCCAAAAGTGATTATAACACCTTTGGCAAACAAAATATATAAACCACAGACAGCTAATTCTGGGCTCAGATGTTCTAATACGGATATTGTTGCTCTATTGTCAACTGTAATGAATTTCACTATGAATAAGTACTGTCATTTACAGGCAACCCTCTTTATCTAAACCATAATCATCCTCTATTCATACAAACCTCAGCCATTTCAGTGACACTGCCAGAGAGACAGGAGAGCACAATAAAGCTGATATGATCATAACTGCTCCATGTAGGGCTCGGGGTAAGAGCTGTCATAGTGGGGATTTTTTCTGTTTCTGGTTAGGTGCTTTCCTTCACTGGTAGCCAAGAGGCTACAGTAGGCTGATTATTAAAAATGAAGGCTGATTAAAGTTAGAGTAAGGACAGTGGGGATAAAAAAAAAACTACATAGGGACATTCTCAAAACTGATTTGGTTTGGATATGGATATTTTCCACTGTAGCTAATGAACTGGGTTATGGTTCGGTAAACCTCTTTTGATAACTATATGCATCTATCTTAATCAATTAATTTTCAAATTTCATTTTGAAGGAGCACAAACCATAATGCTAAACCTGATGTTATAAAGATGCATTATATGGAATATTTTATGTTAGTGTTGTAGTTCATTCCTGATGTTAGTTGATTGATTTATAAGAAATAAGGCTGATTCCCAATGTGGAAAGAATATAATAATGATAATATATTGTAGTCTCTGTGTCCAGAGATTGGGTCGTCGGGGCCCCTGCCTTCGACTGCTGCCCAATCCACTGTGCACCGGCCCCTTACAGGCCCACCTGCAGGTGGTGGGCCCACGGGAGGATAATTAATGCATTTATACAGTTAAATCTGAAATATCTTGTTCCTAACATAAAAAACTGAAGTTGAAAAGTTTGTAATTATTTTTTCTACAATTAGAATCTGCATCGTTGCCTGGGAACGCCTCGGCATTCCCCCGGAGGAGCTGGAGGAAGTGTCTGGAGAGAGGGAAATCTGGGCATCTTTGCTTAGACTGCTGCCCACGCGATCCGGTTCCGGATAAGCGGGGGAAAATGGATGGATGGATGAATAATATATTGTATATTATATTGTATATTCATATAAAGACTTCCAACATAGTACACGACCTGTCCAGGGTGTACCACGCCTCTCGCCCAATGTCAGTTGGGATTGGCTCCAGCCCCCTGTGACCCCTATTCAGGAATAAGCAGTGTATAGATAATGGATGGATGGATGGATACCATAGTACAGAATTAATAGCTTATATAATGCTTGGCTACTACTGAAGCTGAAGGCAGCTTAGGTGCACATAAGTGCCCAATGATCAATTTTAACTGATAGGAATATGTGCCATCTCGGAACATCAACAGTTTTCATAACACATTGATGACACAACACTGGTTTCTGTTATTGAGGGTATCCATGTGCCAAAGACAGACAGTCAGTCAGCAGATTAGCTGTCTGGGGAGGTTACAGACCAGGAGAATACACTCTGGGTAATTCCCAACTCCAGCTCCCTTAAGTGGATCCATGTTTCCTTTACTTGTGTCTTTTCCTTGCATCTTAATCCCTCCCATGTAAGTCCCTGTATTTTTGAGCAGTTAATGATTTCTTGCTAGATGTGTTTGTATCTGACTCCCATTTAAGTACATGGGGAATCTTCTTCTTTAGGAAGGTAGACAACGAGTATGGTGCATAATATTAATATAGCAGTTTGGTGAAAAACACAAAAATTAACAAATACATTAGCTGCCCTTTCTCTATTCTCTGCATGTTTGTAGTGTCAGTGTTTTTTTTCTGTATTGTGTTGTACTGTGCTTAACTTAAAGTGCTTGTGTTTTACATGCTTCATCAGTAGAAACAGTTTTTCATGCCAATAGTTTATTTATAATTTTACGATTTCTTATCTACAGTTTTGTCGAATAAATGCCATCTGCATACAGATATTCAGTAACTTATTTTTATTTAGCTTTTCCTAAGTATGCCTATACTCAGTGTGATGCTATACAAGCTGTGAGGTTGGCTGGAAAGAATCCAAACCAGCAGTGGCAAGAGAGAGAATAGGAGAGTGACAGAGACTGAAGACTTCTATTATCAGTGGGGCTTTTTCTAAATGGAACTATTTAGCAACCTTGTCCCCTCTCCACTCACTGCTGTACAGCCTCAAGGCAGCGGCGCTGCAGTGGGGGTGTGAGATGATGGTACACATGAACACATGGGCATATAAGCGCATTTAGGAAATATTAATGACAACAAAAAGGCACTCACAGTAACACATAGAAACATATGCTTAAACAGACTCATAATTAACATTGGCAAATAATGTGTCCTAACACTCACATCAGCTGCCAGATCCCACAGCTGACTCCCACACTCACAAATGGTCCTACATTCACATTCTTGTTGTCAAGGTTGCTAGAAGGCTTGACTGAGGCTATAAAGTTTTGTACTGTTTGTACATAATATGTTTGGGGTGTATGCATGTATGCATGCCTTTACTTCTATCCTCAACCTGTTAAGGTTGAACATCCTATGGGCTGTCTTGTATAAAGGAAAATGGCCTAAGAATAATGGTTTTCCTTCTCCTCCATCTCATCTTTCCCTTTCTCCTCCCATTTCCTGCCATGACTTGTCAGGAGAGCACCGCAATTACCTTGCAGGACAACAGAGAGACACCTCAGTCCTTGAGAGACAGGGCCATACTTAACTCCATTTTAAAGCCCTTTGCAAGGACCCCATACTGGGCCAGCTCAAGACCCTCTGCTTGTCAGACTCTCTCTCTAAAAGCTCATACCAGTACTTGGCAAAACATGCTTTGACAGGTGACAATAAAATATGTATATATACACTTTTTTTTACAGTGATCCCATTTCAGTCAGATTCAGCATGAAGGGAGAATTTTCTCCACAAAGTGTACTTCTGATATTGTTTTAATATTTGTTCATAATTTGTAACCAATTCACTTTAAAATTGTGCCAAATGGATTGAAATCTCATTTTATAAACTGAGTTTTAAAAGTTATTCGTAGCCACAGGAGGGCATTAGTCCACTGTTCTCTCATGCACATCCCCTAATGGAATACATGGTTACAGGTCCATGAAGTACTAAGCAAGGCCTAATGAGAAACCAAGTTCAGCTCACCTCACTATACAACTGCACAACTGTAAAATAATAATAATAATAAACTTTATGTGGGCAGCATGGTGGTTAGCACCATTGCCTCACAGCAAGAAGGTTCTGGGTTTGGGCCCCACCCGGGACCTTTCTGTGTGGAGTTTGCATGTTCTCCCCGTGCTTGCGTGGGTTCTCTCCAGGTACTCCGGCTTCCTCCCACAGTCCAAAGACATGCAGCTTAGGTTGATTGGTGTCTCTAAATTGCCCATAGGAGTGTGATGAGCTGGCGACCTGTCCAGGGTGTACCTGCCTTCGCCCGATTGCCGGCTGGGATTGGCTCCAGCTCCCCCCCGCCGGCTGGGATAGGCTCC